TTTTTTTTTTTTTTTTTTTTTTTTTGGTTGTATTTTATTTTGTTGGTTTAATTTTTATATATTATGCTTTATTTCATAATTTCTTGTAAAATTATTGCAGGATGGAGTATGCCCTTGACGCTAGACTGAGAGATCATCCCGGCAAAGTTACATAGATATTTAGTACAGTTATAGAGGGGCTCGATGATGAGCATGCAACTATACTGCGCCAGTCTTGCCCATGGAAGTTGTATTCATTGAGTCACATGTTCTCCGACCAAATTGTCGATGTATTATTACTTCGTCTGCTTAAGGCAATTGATGACGATTTACATCGCTACAGTTAGATGATGCATTCAAGAGGTGCTCCGACATTAATTGAAGTTGGGATTGGTGTTTATTATGGAAAGTGTGATGAGGTATCGACACCGTAATATGTCTATTGACCTTTTTGCGTTGGATGTTTTTGATGAAAATGATGCCTTCAACAACTATTCATGGGGTTGGAGATGACTTTTGGATACTCTACATGTCTTCAGGATGGTGCATTCGATGCCCGAGTCATCGAAGGTCGAGCGTAAATATGATGCATATGGCTTTCCATTAGCCTTGTAGGTAAATGTTAAACCTAATGAACGTTAAAATTTTTATTAAATTTATTTACATAATTATTGTAAGTGTTGCAGATATGGACATACGAAACTATCTCCGCTTTGGGTGGTAGGTGGGCGATCACAAAAGAGACAAGTTGCACTCGGATGCATTATTGTCGAGCACAGGATAAGTCCAATGCCAAAGACTTGTCGTTATCCTCGACGATCCTCAAGTGATTACTATACATTTGCGATTTATATTGTATGTCCAATTATTATCTCAATACATAATCATTAACTCGTTGAAATGTCAATATGTCAGCTCGAAGTCCACATTGAGTTAACAGTGTTGATGGAGGAAGAGGATCAGATGTACGTGTGTGAATTAACTATTTCGCCCATTTAAGACAATCCATTGCCCAATTCCGTCCCAGATGGAGATAGGATATGTTTATTTAATATAATTTGTTGATTACCTTTTTGTGTTGTAATATTTTAATTAAATTATTAATTGTCAATCTTTTTATTTGTGTAGGAGCATCGTACATTTAAATGATGATTGTCTCCACTCCGGATATCTCTTCAACCGAGCAAATCACCATCACCGAGGAGATCTTCCACACCCAGACATTTACCATGGATCTTCTGCACCCAGTTATGAGCCTGCACATTAGGGGTGTTAATTCAAATAATTTGTTTAAATGTCTCAGTAGGAACCTAACTGGAGTTACTAGAGATGTGGTAGGAGCGCTACGATATGAGTTAGGAGTGTTTCGATAGGAGCTAAGAGGTGAAGTAGGAGACATATGACATGTTGTAGAAACACTACGAGGCGATATAAGAGACCTTTTTAATGA